AAGAAAGTGGTTTGCTGTTTCTAAGTTAGTGTACCCTCACTTCTTTAATATATAGTTTCTATGTTTAGTAAACATGCAGACACAAGTTAATGGTTTTTACACCTTTTGTTATAAAGTTTTCAGTTGAAAAGCATCATTATGTTTTGTACTTTTGGTATCTTAAATCACGTCTGCATATTTGCTAACATGTTTAGTACTAATTTCTTATAAGATAAATAATTCAAACAAAATAAGTGTGAACATTCACTTCCCATTTTATTTGAAAAGTTGTAACATACTAAATGCTTAGACTTACAAGTTTTGTTTTTTATATCTATATAGCTGCCAAATCACATCATGGTAACAGGCGAGCAATGTCCACATGTGATATTTTAAGATAGCGTGGCTAAAATTACGTGCAGTTTTTTGTTTTGAGATTTGTTTTAATCTAATGAGGATGAATAAGTAGACATTGGCAATTCTATAAAGTTACAAATATAAATGAAACATTATATCACCAAGCTTTAATAATGTGTATTTAAGGTAGGAAGGGTAGTTTTTGTAAAACTACTTATCATAGTTGCCAAACAACTAAAAAATGTTCTTTACCTAAATACCCATGTAAAGGGAAGACAGAAAAAAATGGATGTTACTGACTGAATTAGTATTCATTATGGAAAAGATGTAATGTGATGCATTTGGAGGAAAGTAACTACAAATTGATGTATTATCAATAAAAAAAAGTTTTCGACCATGTGGCATGTTCAATATGCTTATAAAACATTTTGTGAATTAGTCGTTGTGTTATTCCTATCAAATGGCAGCTTATCATTTGTTTCTCATTGTTTATACTTACCTGTCCCCCAGTGGGTCAACAATAAATTTATGGATTTAAAAAGCTAAAATCTGGGGTTCATTTCCCTGTGGTGGACAGAGTGCAGGTAGTCTCTTGTGTAGTTTTGTGCTGAAACAAGTAAGCAAACAAACATCATTCTTGCTATATAACAAAACCAATTCTACAAAGTTTGTACTGTCATGAAATTTTATACTTATGAAAATTCCTCTACTTTGAATCATACTATTTGAAATATTGTGTACCAGTTTGACTAAAGTAAAATTCAGAGAAAACTTTATAAAGAATAATGTAATGCTGTATTTAAATATAAGCATTCAGTTGGAATGTCTTAATGAGTACATATTAGAGTGACAAAGAGTTTTTTTCCTGTACTCTCTCAATTTTTTATAATGATTATAATGTTCATTGACACATTATATTGATACATCATATAATGTTACATTTAATTGTGTAACTGCTACATTGAGCTGTTAAAGTTGGTAATGCACTTCACATTAGTGTTGTTAGAAACATTTCACTAATTTTGTAAATTGTCTCAGCCTTGATCTCAGCTTGAGCAAAAACTGCTGTTATTTTATTTACTGATAGGATTGTTTCCATCACTAAGGGATAAGAATGGTAATCTTAATTTGACATCAGAATTTTCTTACAAATTATATGCTTACAATTTTTACACCCTTTTTCATAGAATAATATTTTATTCTCTGTTTATAAGACATTTCAGAGTAACTTAAAGGAGTGAGGTAATTATGCTAAAATACCTTTTTGGGTATGTAATATTAATTTTCATCCATTGGTCTTGAATTTTAAAAGTTATAAATTTTGCTGACATAGACCTGGAGCTGTTAAGAAAGATTGCTTTTTTTAAACATAATGAAAGCTCTGAAAATAGATAAACTTGAAGTTAAATCTGTCTAGGGCACAAGTAACATGAGATTACTTTTCTATTTTATTTAATATTATGCAGGATACATTGTATAATGGTTTTTATTGTCAGTTAATACTTAAAATGGTCCTCTTGGTAGAAACTTGGTGTTTCATATTGCAAAATAGAGTGAACCAAATTTGCTTCAAAATCCAGATAACATCAGTAAAAGTAGGAAGGTGAGAACACAGTTACTTCTTATGAAGTATTTTAATGTCAGACTTTTTTTTTAAAGTGTCGCAAAGCTACGGTCGGTACAGTTGTATGCCTATGATGACTCGTAGCTGCAATAGTAATAGTTGTTAAACAATGATTGCAATTAATAAGCCTTATTTTTTCTTAGTCATTTTAAGATTCACCAAGAAAAATTTTCTAGTAAATGAAATCTACTGTGAGAGACCACTTTTTTGCATTTTCATTGCTGTTGCAAAATACATCTTGCTATGCATGGAAATTATTATACACATGTCGATAATCATCATATAAATTTGAAAATGTTATAAATTTTACATTTGTTTAAAATAATCGGCAAGTTAAATGTTTCAATACTTCTTTATTTGGTGCCTATTTGAACATTCAGAAGAGCCATTCACTGCAAAGGATTGTGATATCAGTAGGTCACTTAATCATTTCCTCAAGATTATCTTCATTATATGGGTCAGATAATAAGATCTGTTTTCAACATTAAATAAATATCGGAGACCTAGTAGTGGGTAGTGACTCAAGGGTTGTATGCTTGAATATTATCTCATTCACTGCCACACTTGTAGATAAACAACTTTCCAAGTATCAAGTTTATCATACATGTGATGTTGTGTAATTATTCGTATCTTACTTATTACTTATCATATCAGAATGCACTTTATTTCGAAATACTTGCCCGAAATATTTCATTGATGAGTATGTTCTCAGATTGTAAGAAGTAAGTAAAATGATTATCCATGCATTAATTTCCCAAACTTGAACATTAATATGTAACATTTTTCTATCGTTATAAAATTGTTAGTATTATTGTATATGTACTTCTCGGAACATTTACTTACTATTACCTCTTAAGGCTAAAAGTCCAGAAATATTGTTAACAGTCACACTATCTAACTGATGAAATAATACATTCTAATCTTTATAAGTAGAAGTGTAAGAGACCCTCAATGGGACAGCAGTAAGTTAATTAAAGACTATATCATGTTTCTTATATGTGCCTATGGCAGTGCTCTAGAAGGGGGACCTGATAGTGAGAGTTACAAAAACAACAATATCAAACAATCCATATAACTAGTCTATAGAAAATTTTAAATGTAAGCTAAACTGATGGTTGTGTTTGTATTCTAGTGAAATACAATTACGTGTATGTCAGACAGAGCCACTTAGTCATTAGCTTACCCTTTTGTGGTCATATATTGTTCAAATCACGTTTTCTATATTTTTCTATTGTTTTTATTGAATAAATCCGTACATTTCATGTTTTTTATGCGTTTTCTTCTTGATTAAGAAAAGCTTATTTTAAAGGTTTGTTTACCTTTCACTTTCATTCTTTCTGACACCTAATCCAAATTAAGAGTTAGTGTATTTCAAGCTTTGTGTGTGTAGCAATTTTGTTATAAGATTGAATTAGAATATGGATTGGTAGTTCTAAAACTATGTATATATAAATATGTACTCCGTTGCAACCTTTTTCTTCAAAAAGAGTTTGCTCAAGTAATGGCTGACTTCCAGTCTGGCATGGTCAGATGGTTAGGGTGCTTGACTCGCAACCTACGAGTCGAGTCGTGGGTTTGAATCCCTATTCCACCAATCATGCTTGCCATTTCAGCTGTTAGGGCATTATAATGTAATGGTCAATCCCATTATTTGTTGGTAAGAAAGTATCCCAAGAGGTGGCAGTGGGTGGTGATGACTAGCTGCTTTCCCTGTAGTTTTTCACTGCTAAATTAGGGATGGCTAGTGGAGATAGCGGGTGGATGGAGAGCGGATGTGGACTTTTGGCGGAGAGCATCGAAATATTGAATGGTAACATTTCTTTAAATTAAGAAAAAGATATGGCAAGTCGTAATAAAAACTTAATTTAGCGCGTTTCTTGCATGTGTATATGAGATTTGAATGCTGACACTAACTGCGTATATCACTAACATATAGACTGTAATTTTATTAACTAGTTCTGGGCAGTGAAAAGATTAAATAATTGTTGAAAGGGCGCGACTTTATTTAGGTAAATCACTTTAAAATTTCTTCTTTGATGCAGGCATTTTGTTACCATAGAAACATATTAAGTTTTAATTTAACATCGGATTTAGGTTATACAAACACGTGTAGAGCTCATAATAAGTAAAGTAATCAACAATGTGCTTAATCTTTATAGAAATCGCCATCTGTACAGGAGTAGTCTACAAGTCACCTCGTTTACTGTGTTATGTTTCACTGGTAATATAATAAGGAGATTAAAGAAAGCTGCTGCTAAATTTAAAATGAGGGTTTCTGTCGTAAGCATTTAAAATTACGGCCTCGATGGAGTATTACAGTTGTGTAAAAAAAGATTATTGTCAAGTGGGCAGGTGTCAAACTTCCCATACGGGTGGTTGCATGTACGATGCCAAACTAGTGTAGCTTCTTTTTTCTTCTTCTTATATATCTACACCTCTGGAAGCTGAATTGCAAGTAATGGAACAAAAAATGTATGACAAATATCAAGAATTTTGTGTTGGGTACCGTTGATTAGCTACCTTTAATTAGTTTAAAATTAGGGACGGCTAACGCAGATATTCATAGTGTAGCTTTGCGCGAACAAACAAAAACAACTTAAAATTCTACATATTTTAACGTCACGGATATTATATTCAGTATAATTCAATAATTGTATTGGTCGCTTTATAATTTTTTTTTCTGTTACCAAAGTGTTCATATGATGAAACTATTAGTTTTTGGGTTTTTTTCTGATTTGCTCGCTAGCTTATTAATTTCTAAAAAAAGGGGCTAAACTATCTATACACGGTATTATCACCGTAACCTTGTTTATCATAAAAATATATTTCCCTTTGTTTAGATTCATTTAACTGTAGAATATTCAAATTAAGCACAGAATACTTGCGTAAGCCTTGTACACGTGATCTGTAGTAGTGGAGCGTCACAAAATATGGCTTGTGGGAGCAGTCTGCTGCACATGTGTTAAACGTAAACAGACCTGGTATTGTGGCGTATAAGGTAGTAGAGCATTTACCATGGCATTACTGATTAAGTAAATACGCGGGAGAGTTTTAATACTGATAGTCGGAAAGAGGCGTTAAGTGACTTTTATTGTCAGCCGTCTTTATTTACTCGAGCAAATACAGGACAGTTTTGACTGTAAAGTAGATACTTAAAGTAATAATCTGTTTTACCATCACTTGTTGCTTTGTTAGCTGAGTAGTGATGATGGTTTATTTTAACCTATGTAGCATACCTTCTGTTTATTGATGTGTCCCTATTTTCAGAAATTAGATTATTTTAAGCCAGTTTTTGGTGTCTTCCACGCTGAATCTTCTTTAGAACGTATCGTTAATAAACACAACTGTAGAAAACCATGGGTCCACATTATATAGCATCAGTTGACTTGCAGCGATTCTTAGGGTCAAGTCTCATAAGTCATCAAACACATGGAAAAACGAAAATGTACCCATCTGATTTAGGAAGACGTTTGGAGAATGGAGGTTCTCGAAGTGCAGGAGCATCATGGAATGGCTACCAATTACCTATGTGTAACTATCAATCCTGTAATAGTCACATGCCTCAGTTCGGTCATTCCAATCTGAACTACCTCGTCTGGACAGGAGTTCCCTTGGTAAATTTGGCAAATGGTGTGTTAAATGGTCATGATAAATGGAGTTATGAATTATCCAGAAGGAATGATTATGAAAAGTGTTTGACTCGAACGCGTGAATATGGCATTTCTCATGCATTAGAAGAGAACGTTCCTTCCAAGTCTTATTCCATACCTATTCATTCTTATGTTGATGCTAATAACATACACGCGCAAGAAACTCCTCCAATATTTCCAGAAGAAGACAAAGAAACATCTTTGTTTAGGAATTTGGATGAGGTAGAAGGGCACGGTTTTTTCTCGGTTGAAGGATTCCATCAACCTTGTCGTTTTTACTCGCCTGAAGACTGCTATGGTATAAAAGAGGTAAATCCCTTGATATTCTCATATCCTACATCGTTGGATCATCAGCAGTTTGGAGATGAAACGTCGCCTGTTAGTAATGAGTCTTATTACAGATACGTACCTGAACTAGTTTGTCAAGTACAACAAAATGATTCTTTTGGTTTCATGTGGAAAGAATCCTTTGATATCACAGATAACTGTTTGCCACAAATTGTAAAACCACGCAAACGCTTAAGAAAGCATAAGAATATGTGTACATTTCAAGATCATATCAGTAGTCGTAGCGGTATTTTAACATTGAAGCCGTACCAACCACTGTGCTATAAGTATTCTAATTTTCAAAAAAATCAAGCTAAAATGCGTGAAATAGAAGTTAGTAACGATGACTTTAAAAATATACAATCACAAAGTCTAGTGATTGAAAACGTGTCTCGAAGTCGAGCTAACAAAGCGCTGATGGCCGAGTTAAGTGATTCTGCCACTATAAGTTTACAGTCACAAAGTTTGATTGGTGATGACTCATTTGCAGCTGATTCGATATCATCAAATTGTTCATCAGTCTTGACCAATTCAGTTTCTCATTATAAAGTTTGTTATCCACATGTTACACCACTGTATTCCGAATGTGAATATTTCGAAGATCTGTCGTCTTCCCTGTTTCTAGTGGCACAACAGGACCCATCGGACCAGCTTACAAGAAAGGAACCTGAAATATCAACTACAGAACTAGAGTCTGAAGTCCCATCTCGGTTTTTTACATCGTGTTATGAAAGTAATGAGTTGAAAATGAACTTTTGTCCCAGGTTGAGTTTGTCTGAAGAGAACGAAATGAACAGAGGAGATAAATTCGAAACCTACGTCACCCCAGGATCAGAACCGTCATCTCATTTTTATATCAGCTCTTGTAAGTTCCTTTTTTCCCAACTGTCTTTCGTAAACAGTACTATTAATAGGTATTGAAATATTTTTGAAAAATGCTAACTAAATCAGCGGTCTATAATTTTTTTTCTTTTAAAAGTCCTGAGTTTCGTATTTTATTGAGCGCATTACAATACAAATTATATGCATAGTAAACAATTGTCAAGTTTCCTGTGTTTGTACATTGCCCCAATGACTTATTTTGGTCACCAGTTATAAATAATCACTATTTGTGTGCATACCATTGACCATTCCTAACATAATGAGAATCTCTCAATAAGAATATATGAAAAGAGCGCTTGTACAACTGCTTAGCAAGTGCAACTAACAATAGCAAAACCATGAAATTAACTACTATAAATCTATAAAAAGTTAACTGTTATGTCCTAGTTAGCACAAAGTCTGTACTAGTTGTGGAAATAACAAGTATTCAAGTAGGGTTTTGAAAGAAAATTTAAACTTTGCGCCCTAACTTTCAATTATTGTGAATATAGCAAGTTTTAAAGAAAGGAATGTTGTATGAAGGTAAAAGTTAGCCATATATATATATATATAGCTACGTACTGTTAAATGTTCAGCATAAGCTAAACTGCTGAACTATGATGAGTGAAAACAAATTTCATACAGATGAATAGAAATGGTGACTCAGTTCTCTGGATATCGTTGTAATTACAGACATATATAAGCACACAGGGAGAGAGAATTCTAAAGGTGTGTGTGGAATTAGATTTAAAGTGAACGCTTAGCTTCTTGGTAGAAAATTGCCTAGCTAGAAGCAGAATTTAAAGCAATGATATGTGCATGATAAATAGAGATTTTATGTTCTGTCAAATGAAATTAAAATGGCATTATTCTAAAGTATGGTCGGCTAGATAATATTATTAGTAGATATAAATATTAGCAAGATTTCAAAGCGATTTAGCAAAACGGCTAGATAACATGGTAATTAGTTAATATAAATCTTAGCAAGATTTAAAAGATATTTTTGGTTATGAGTAAAAAAACATTGTTTAAATTCTTTAAGCCCTATAATTGTTAAGCACTGATGCGTTAGATATAAGAAGCGCTGCTTCATTTAACAACTTTCTTCCTGTGCTAAATGCCCCCCAGTGGCACTTACAACGCAAGAATCCGGGTTTCGATACCCGTGGCGGGCAGAGCACAGATAGCCCATTGTGTAGCTTTGTGCTTAATTACAATCAAACAAACAGTGCTAAACATTTATTTATTTTTGTCTGTATGTCTCTCTCCATTTGTATAAGTTACTATATTTACTTTATCTATCTTGTTTTTATTCGATGTCTATTTTTTTTTATCTAGACTGTCGGATCTTCATTGGAAGTAAGCATTTTCTACCATGAGAGTTGCGTAGTAGTAACACATTTACAACCTAAGAATAAAAAATATTTAAAAAGGCACCATTGAGCTGCCGCCACTTAGTCATCGTTAATTATCAGTTGACCCTTGAATTATATAATGAACAAGCGAATGTGTGAATAATGTTGCATGTGATTTTGAATTTCTGAGGCTAACCAAGTAGACACAGGTTCTATTATCGTCAGGTTTTTATAGGTTTCTATATATATAAACATACATACACGAACATATTAATCATTAAAATTCACAACAATATAACGAGTCCAAAGTAGGCTTAGCATGCGTTAGGCTTTTTTTGCTTTTTAGTCTTTCATTTTAGATTGTTTTCTGTATAAGTGCTAGCTTGAATTTCTAAATATTAACTAATAGAGATTACACATTTTTGCACTCAAAGTTAAGCTGCCAAAGGTTTGATACTGTTAATATGTTGCCGTAATTGTAAAAAACATCATCTCTTCCAGCATTCTTATAGAACTAGCTGAGTTGTGAGGGCCAATATTGCTCGAAACTTAGTTTACTTAGTCATAGTATGATGGTGTGCTTTGTTGTTGTTGTATTACTTGAACTCGTAGCTGTCACCATCGACAAGTGAAGAGCGCTGAAATAATAGTCAAAAACATACCTGAAAGTCTTCTCGTCATTAAGTAAGGATAATGGCAACAAATTTTATAGTAATATGAGCTAATATATATTAAATTACAACCTGAAAATCAAAAGTGGATTACGCCAGTTGAGTGTGTATGTGTAATGCTGATGTGAGAGAATACGTTGTAATCATCATTTGCAATATTGCGTGCAAGTTTGTTTTATTTCATGAATTAAAAAAATAAGTTGGGCAAAAATAACAGTGCACGCAAATATGTACAATTGGGAAACAATTGTGAGGGATCAATGATGAATTTATATTTGTTTGTTTGTTTTTACTGTAGGAAAGCAAATGTTTATGATAAAATTTTTTAGTATTTTCCACATATGACTTAAAAAAATATTTCCCTCAAATTGTATTGTACATCCCCATTGACATTGATCGGTTCAATATTCAGGTTTGGCTCGGCATGGATGGCCATTAGGTTAGGTCACTCGACTCGCAATCTGAGAGTCGCGGGTTCGAATCCCCGTCCCACCAAACATGCTCGCCCTTACAGCTGTGGGGGCGTTATAATGTGACGGTCAATCCCACTATTCGTTGGTAAAAGAGTAGCTCAATAGTTGGCGGTGATGACTAGCTGCCTTCCCTCTAGTCTTACACTGCTCAATTAGGGACGATTAGCGCAGATAGCCCTTGTGTATCTTGGCGCGAAATTCTAAACAAACAAACAGTACTCAGGTTTCAGTACTTTACGTTAACTCGTCGCTCAGAAAAAAAGCCAATTAGACTACAGTAGAACGTTTTCTGGACATGTATGTATATTTGTTTCACAACCGAAAATAAAATAACATTGGTACATAAGGAAACTGTTGGATTATTGCAATAATTTTGAATATGCATTTTATATATTAGGCTAAATGATTGATAAAGTTTACATACGTAGTTTGATTTGAGAGAGAGGTATTTTCTTCTTGTACAGATGCTGTAAAATAAGCATTAATCGTTTTATGTATAACCAGTTTTGCAGACCTCAAGCTCTGAAAAAAACTTTCCCTTACTTATAAATTGCGTTACTTCAGTGGCTCACCGATAATCTTGGACTTAATGCTAAAATTCGTGGTTCAATCCATGTTGTAGACACATCGCAAATATACCTTGTTTAGTTTGAGCATAACACACACACAAAAGGGACAAACAGACAGTATAAGTTGTTTTTTCTTTTCTTATGCTTTGCATCTGTCAGTGACTTATAATGAATTAACATAAGTAATAGAAAATATTCATCACTCACTGCACTTGGGATTACTTTTTACGTCGCTACAATACACAATTCTCTTCTGTTATGCATAATTACAGTGCTTCTTTTCAGTATCAACCCCATCCAGAAATATCTAACGCCGTAGGTGTTAATAACACTTGGCATAAGTGCTGAATGTTATGACACTGTAGTCGTTTCAAGTCATTAATGTCAGTATTAAACATCTGACATGATCGTATATACCTTTCAAATACCATAAAGAAAACAATAGTTCATTGCCAATATGGCAACATTCACCAAGAACTAATAATATCTAAGAGTTGTAGATAATTATATGTAATAATGTATTTAATGCTATTAGCGTTAAGCAATAATAACAACAACAAAAAAACAACTTTATTATAGCGCTTCTTAATTTATTGTGCCACCAGCCACCCAAACAAAGCTATTTAAATATTTTTTTATTGTTCATTTAATTTTTAAAGTTATGTTTGAGTTAGGCCGTAACGTATATTGAAAGCATCAAAAACTACATATTAAACAAATATGCAAAAGAAATGTCAAGCGAAGTATAATATTTATGAAAGTATATTTGTCTGTGCATGTATATAATATATACACTTATCAGGATTCAGTTCTTACCTGATTTACGTTTATGTTATAGAGGTGTTGTCTGATATTCTTAACAAAGAAAAAATAAAGCGTTTAGTGAACTCCATGCTCTAATTCTTTCATCAGTTTCTTAAGAAGCCATCATGTGAAAAGTTATCTCTCGTGTTCTGTGTGTTTAATACCGAAGTATTGAGTATGGTTGAGAAAGTCCTGCCTTTTCTGTTGGGTTCATTAACTGTGTTTATGAAATGTTCACCATAAGTTACATGCTTTTCTGACTTCCTTGGTGGTTTCTCGTTTTCACCGATCCACCCCAGTGCCGTTTACATTTTATTATCGTTGTTGCATTGTTTTGTGAAAACTGATACGACCTAGCGTACCGGGAAATTATCCTCAATAAATGAAATGTGTTTAATTTTATGATATTAGAGTGTGTGTGTGTAAGAGGTTATTATATTTATCTCTGTGTTCGATAACAAGTTTTCTATAATACTCCTATATGAATTTAAACAACGTTAAGTGGAAAAGTATTGTGTTATTGAGGAACAAATAAATTAACGTAAAGAAGCAGTAGGCCAATGACCTCGCCATTATGGAAGTTTTTTAGGGTTAAGAATGACTGGGTTACCTTATGATATTGACAGTAAGAGGTCGAAGTCATGAGACATGCTCACTTTGTCGTCCAATAAAGAGGACATTATGTCGAGATTATTCATATCATTTATTATATCTTCTTTAGATCTGTTTCCATTTGAAGTTATGCAAAGAAAGCGAATGAAATATACCTTTTTACGTTTTATATTTTTCAACCACTTTAATTAATGCGATGAGGGAGATTGAAAGTTATACAGACCTCACTAGATATGCGTTCACGTCCTTTGAAATAATAAATACAGTTAACGAAAATACTATAAGTTTAGAAATCGCATCACAATAAATGTTGCAAAAAAAGTGAAGACACCAGCTAAAAACACTTCAAAATACCTAAGTTTTGATGATCGCCTCCCACCTTGTCACAAAGACTTCTGCACAGTGGTTAGCTTGCTCAGAATATAAATACCGAGGGGTATTTCGCAGCTCTTTGCCTCAAAAAAACGCGCTTTGCTCTTTGGATGTGGTAAACGCTTGATGGTCGAATCCTACTATATTC